CGATCCCCAGTTTGACTGGGCCACAAGCAGCTCAACACGTCTTTCATCGAGGCGTCGAGATGTCGCGGTCGCGCGTCGAGCTTCCCTCGGAGGTCGAGGACTCGCTGAAGCTCTTCAACACGGTGGTCAAGTGGACTCAGGTCGCCTACATCATCGCCTTCATCTCTCTGGCGCTGTCGGTCATCTTTGGCATCTTCGCCAACTGCACGCGCGTCATGTCTTGCGTCACCTTCCTCGTCGCGCAGGTGGCCTCGATCTCCGTCGTCGCCTCGGCTGCCCTCTCCACCGCCATGTCCGCCATTGTCGTCGGCGCCATCAAGGGCACGGGCAAGTGGTACGGCGTCGGTGCCAGCTTCGACACGACGTTCCTTGCGCTCGTCTGGATCTCGGCGGCGTGCGCTCTTGGTGCCGGTTTCTTCTGGATGTTCACCATCTGCTGCTGCGCACCCAGCCACAACTCGCGCGATCGCAAGAGCCGCAACCGTGGCTCGACCGACGCCGAGAAGCTCCTGCCCGGTGGCAACTCGTATCAGCCCCTCGCCTCGCCCGCGAACCAGGGCTTCTACAATCCCCAGCAGCCGACCTCATTTGGCGCCCCTCACGCTACTCGGGAGACGGCTTACGAGCCCTACTCGCATCGTCAGTAAAACATGACGGTGGAGCGACGTGGTTTCGTGGCGTTTGCGGCTCGAATTCTCTTTTTTCTTCTTCACGATAAGCGATGAACGGTGGGTCAGGGTGGTTCCAGATGGAACAGACTACGTGGGATAGGTCATGGAAATACCCAAACGGGTGGGATGAAGCCTTGGCAATACTAGAATACTCATGAATTAATGATTCTATAAATATGTATTTTGAGGAGAGGAAATGATGCTCATGGGCTCGTCGTGAACGTCATGCTTGCTGTGTTTGATTTGCTTTCGTGGAAGAGGACTGGGATCTGGAGAGGTGGGGGCTCCCTCCAACCATGACGGGGGAGGCACTTCAATTGAGTCGAGACCAGGCGAAAATCTCCAAAAACCCTCAAACCTCCTTTCAGCGTTCAGCCAGTGAAGAGCTCCAATTTTGCTTCATCAACACAGTACGTCTCATGTATTGATGCTCCAGATATTTTTCTTCTCTCTTTGTCTCATTCCCCTGTGCTAGCGGCCCGTCGATGGATTTACTCCGCCACAGCTACGGTCAGGTCATGAGGGGCATCACCAAACCACCCACATGAGCACCTCGGTATGAACCTCGAATGATGGATCAGTCTCTGCCAACACACTGACAAATCACAGTCTCCCCTCCAGAGGACATCCCTCCTGGTCCCCATCACCGCCCTGGCCTTCTTGTCATCCTCCACGCCAACTCTCCTCGTCGCGGAAGACAACCTCCTCAAAGCCTACGACACATCAACACACACCCTCCGCCTCACCCTCCGCGTCTTCCACGCCCAAACCATCCACGGCATCGTCATCAGCGACGACCTCATCCTCTTATGGGGTAACCAATCTGTCACTGCCCTGCCAACCTCAGCCCTCGAGGCCGCCCTGACCGGCCGCGGCGAACCCCCCGCGCCCCTCGCAGAAGTCAAAGCCCACGACTGGCTCTTCAGCGCCGCCGTCTCGCCCGCGGGCCGCATCGCCTTCGTGACGGCCCACAACGAGATCCTCGAAGCCACCTACGATGCCGCCGCGCAGAAGCTCGTCCTCGGCCGGATCGTCGCCCCCGCGCGTCCCGGTCTGTACGCGGCCAAGGCGGCGTGGACGGCGCCCTCGACGCTGCTGGTCGCGGGCGGCACGGCCTTCGGCGAGATTGTCGTGTGGACGTGCGAGCTGCCCGGTACCGGGACGCCGAGCTGCGAGGTGCTCTCCGTCTTTGCGGGGCACGAGGGCTCCATCTTTGGGGTGGACATTTCGCCCGAGTTTGAGGTTGCTGAGGGGCCGCCAGGAGAGAAGATGCGCTTGCTGGCGAGCTGCAGCGATGACCGGACGATTCGGCTGTGGGATGTCTCTGCGGCGTCGTTGGAGAGAGGCGTCGTGCAGGCTTCCTTTGGAGAGGCGCGCGAGACGGGGTTTGGCAGCGTTGACCTCTCTGCTGTGGCGGATGCGTCGAGTGCCCCGGTCGCGGTGGCCATGGGGCATGGTTCGCGAATCTGGCATGTCAAATTCGCGGCGCATGATCTTGGCTTCGAGAAAGGCCAGGTCGTGATGCCGGTCTATTCATTCGGAGAGGATGCCACGGTGCACAAGTGGCGGTTGGAGGTGGATGTTGCGGCGTGGCAGGAGAGGAGAGCATCTGCCGATGCAGTCGACGGAGGCGCGGGTAAGCTGATACTGCGAGAAACGTTTGCCCACCACGATGGGAAGCACATCTGGGCGGCAGTTGTTGAGCCCCTGAAGCAGGGGGGCTCTCTGATCGCCACTGGGAGGCGCGGATCCGAGAGTCAACCTCATCACCGACGATGTAGACACGACAGCGAGCGCGAGGGAAGCAATGGGCTTGACACGCTTCCAAGTGAGCTTTCTCAGCTCGTCTTCGAAGACATCCTGAGTCTGTTGCCGCCATCAACTCAAGAATATCCGCCACCTTCGAGGAAACGGCCGGAAGGGTTTCAGAACTTTGTCTTCATTTCTCAAGATACGTTGCTGGCTGCAAGCACTAGAGGAAGGATCCTCTTGGGGACATTTGCGGCAGATCTCGCATGGGAGGAGGTTTCTTACGAAGGCCAACACGGTCGCGACCTGGCATACTGCACTACAATCAGGAGTCCTGCCCCTGGCGTAGCCATCCTAGGGACGGCCACGAAGAAGTTGTTCTTGTACAAGGATTCGACGGTCAAGGAAATCACCGTCATGAACGGCAAGGTCTCCGATATCTTCGTCGTCAAGTCCCTCAGTGACGATAGCCCTTCGGTGGTGGAGCTTCTCATTATGATGATAGGAGGTCCAGACGTTATGCAGCTCCTGACTGTTGACCTATCCTCCGTCACCGTGACTTCCAGCCTTTCGGTCCCTGGTCAACAAGCTGGCTACGTCGCGACAGCAGCCCATCTAGTCGGCGATGTTTTGCTTATTGGCTCTCGTCACGGTCACATCTCTCTCTTCCAACGCTCTCCTACTGAATTGACGCTTCAATCGCCCATTGTCCGTCATACAGTAGACACCATCACTTCGATCATCTCCCTCCCAACGTCCCTCGACGGCGAAACCCACCTCCTCATCACAGCTCGCGACGCTCATTATCGGCTCTACTCTCTTCCCTCATCCCACAAACCCCATCTCACACTCCTCCACCAGA